AGGGTAACGACTACCCTGGTTATACGACAGCAGCCCCCACAAACTTGGATAGAAGAGTATAAGATGATGATAACACTCAGAGAACAGCCTCAGTGCATCTACTCTATGTGAAGGGCTTATTGGAAAATATACAGAAGATCTGTGGTCCATATAACATCAGGACAACTTTCAAGTGTGTTTCAACACTATGCAGATGTCTCTTCTGGCTAAGAAAACTCATAGAGGGGAACATGATTAAGGACCGTATGTATGCCATCCCGTACAGCCGTGCTAAGAAATATAAAGGAGAAACAGGTCACCCCCTTAAGATAAGGCTGCAAGAACATTATAAAGCCATAACACAAGGGGAAATGGCAAAATCAGGCATGGCTGACCATATATGGAAGGAAAAAGGGAGCTCACTGCCCACTGGCAGATGAAGTCGAAATAATAGACAGAACATCACTGGAAAATATGAAAACTTAAGGAATCAGTACATATGCGAGGCATAACGGGAGCAAGAGTCAGAGAAAGAGACTCCTTTGTACAGATAAACACAAACAGATATTGTTGCGGTGTGAAACTCTACACCTGTGTTCACACTTATCTACTGGTAGATGAAGTGTTTGGTTAGCAGAGTTTAAATTTAATTTTAAAACAGTAATTTGGACTTTACTATCCAGTCATTTCTTCTGTAGCTGAGTGGTATAGCAATTCAGATCAAATCATGGTATACAGAGTATTTACGTAAATAATTCTATCTAGAAAAATAATGTTTAAACAGAAAATATACTAAAATAATTGTCAGACTTAGTACATTTCATATATATATATATATTCCTATAATTGGAATTAAGATATCATTAGTTAATGATCATTTTCACCTACAAATTTTAAATTCGCAGGATTTTTCACTACAAACTGACACCATAAACAGTTTGAAAAATACTGCAATTTTAAATTCATAGGTGAAAATGCTCATTAACTAATGGTATCTAATTTCAACTGTAAGAAAAACTTAACTAATGAAAATAAACATTGAGCACTCTTTGGGAGTCAGTTTTAACATTTCAAATTCTATATTGTGTTAATAGGACTCGCTTGGATTATACCAATGGATTACTATGTATATATAAACAAATTCTGCAGGCTACAAATAAATTTTGCAAAGAAAAATTTTAAAGGAGTTTTAAGAACAGGTGTAGATTGTTCTAATTTCACCTGTGTGGACTAAAAGGGTTTGGTTCGAAATTCCAACATACATCACCTGAAGGAGGCCAGAGCATACAACGGCTGAAACATCAGGAATATGACAATAAGGATGTAGACAACAGTCTTAATGATGTAAATAATTACAATACCTCATCTCGGAAATATAGACAGAGTTTTAAGAAATTACATAAAATGTGAATACAGTATAATTTACCTATGTTCTTTTTTTCTTTAATTATTTATATAAATTATATTATCTTTGATTATTAATACTTTAATACAATATCTTTTTTTATTTACGTTATTTTGATAATAAAATTAAAATGGGGGAATCAATTTATAATTGAGGTTTATGGCATATGTAAATTAAATTTCAAAATACAAGAAGGCTCATTCAAGGCAGAGGTAGCTGTAAGGGCATAAAGCAAGAAGTAAAAATACATATTATGAGGATATGTAGGACAGATAACGGTTGACCCTTGATTTAAAGAGGTTGTTAAAATCGCAATGATCGAGGAAGTATCCTCTTCTTGGGAGTTTCACAAAGTAACAATCCCGAATAATGCTAATAATCTTTTTTGTTGAATCTAAAAAAAAAAAAAAAAAAAAAAAAAAAAAAAAAAAACAACAATATTTTTTAATTTTTATTTTATTTTTGTAGTTTAAAAATTCGCTCAGTCAGAATGGATGGAGTAGTAACACGTCTTCTTAATTCAGGCACAAGTTGCATTTTCTTATTCAGTTCGAATTGACTTTAGTTTAAAATCATAAAAAAATGGCAACAGAGACTTTTTTACTCCTTATTGCTTGTACTTTCAAATTTACCAATTCTTTCTTTAAAAGTGAGTTTTATTTTCTACACTACTCATTTATTGTTCCGTTAGCGTTAAAGAAAAAAAAAACTGGTTGACAAAAAGCATAAATAAATTAATTAATAATTTGTTCTGTTGGCCCAAAATCAAGGGTCAATAAACACACACACGGTATCAGAGACATTTTTTTATTTTAAGATTACTTCTTTACTGATAACTTTGAGCATAGGATAGGCATGTAGTAAACGTCTGATCAAGTTATTCTGATGACAAAAGAAGTTAGATAATAGGTATAATAAAGAAAGCCATAATAATTTAGGTTTGCTATTGATGACCACTTTATCGTCAGTTTTATTTGCTGACATTGTTTAAGTGTCAGCTCTACAGAGGAAGAAGGAAAAAAACAAAAAAAAAAAACAAAAAAAAAACAACATAATATTCGTGGTGGTGAAAAAAAAAAAATCCCGATCACTTCAGTAGAACAATTACTTTTACTAATCTATTTATTATTTAATTTATAGAAGAAGTTTTAAAATTGTTTAAAAAAGAAAAAAAAAGGCTTATTTTGCCTTGACAAATAAAAACAAATATGTATTTCCCCCACCCCAGTTGACTTCACGTTTGTTTTATTCTTTTTCTTCACATCAGAATTTTAGTCCAGAAAATTGGTAAAAATACCTGGTTGACTAATATAACTTTAATTAAATCAACACTAACAGTGTCCCATAAGTACAAAAATGTGTATATATGCAAATAAATGTAACAACTTTTTAAGGGACAGAGGCTGTACAAAGTTCCTCTTAATTAAAAAGTTTAATTGAAACTCGAAATTGCTATTATTTAAAAAAAAAAAAAAAAAAAAAAAAATGAATGTCTATTATTATTTTTGTTAATTTTTGTGCATAAGCTTGAATTTTTTGTTTTTGCTAAAAATAAAATGCATATTTCAATTTCTTCAGAAAAGAATGTGGATTCTGGTTATTTATTTATTTTTTTAATTTGATTTTTAAAATAAAATCAGAAGGAAAAACAAAAAGGAATGTTTTTTTTAAATAATTTAAAAATATTTTTATATTTTTTTTCAATGGTTTTTAAAGTGATCCACAAAATTTCAATTAATTAATAATGCATAATTAATTATACTTTTAGTTTTAAAAATCCTTTGTGCCGTGTGTGAATGATTTTTTTTTTTAATTAAAAAAAAAAACAGTATTTTTTAGCTTTAAATGTAATCAATTGGAGATGTACATTTTATAAATTAAACCTAAATAAATGAAAAAAGAACGATTATTGTGTACGAGTGGAAAAAAAAAAGTTTAAATCTCCTGTAGTTTATAATAGAATTTTTTTTTTTTACCCAGACTCATTTTGTGAATCTATCATTAAAGTTTTAATTTTTTTAAACATAAAATTTTCATCTGTAAAAAGAAGACAAATAAACTTAACTATGTGAAAGTTAATTTTGTGTTAAACTAAGAAAACAACAAACAATAGGTTTTTTAGTTTTAGTTGCATTGCAAACTACTTTTTAAAATCACTAACATTGAACAACCTGTTGTTTCTCGGCCAACAACAGTATCAAAGTTCATAAAAACAGCAAAAGGACAGTATTGTTCCCAATATTTATCGAAAAGTGGAACAGAAACCATAATTTTAAGCAAAGGAATGATGACCCCTACACGTCAATAAGACTCGGGACAAAATCCGATCAGCTGACATTATCAGAAAAGAAAAAGAACAGTTACCAAATTTTAACTTCTTTTTAAAATTTAAAAGTTTTTAAACTTTTGCTTACAAAATAACAATAATAATAAATGTGTTGTAATGTTTGTTTGTAAATTAAAGAGGGAAAATGACTTCGTGACAAATATCTGTACTTCCCGCTTGTATTCAGTACGGTTTAAGACAGCAAATCACGTGACTGAACAAAAAAAACAACAAAAAACGTCGATGTATTTACAATTTACATGAAATTGAAATCTATTTTTTTGTTAAATGATTATTTTATTTGTTTTTCATCATCTTATTCTCATGAAAATAACCGTTTGTTTTCACTTGTCATAAGAAGTCGTTTATTTTTGTTGCCATCAAAGTTTAACAGTCTTCTACTAAGCGACAAAAAAAAAGTAATTTTCTTTTAAAAAGTAATTTACTTCTTTTTGTTAGTAAATATTTATTAATAAAAATAAAAATGTTAGTCGCATTTTTACACACCAAAAAGAGCATTTTTAAAAAGCGATGAATGAATAATATCAACAATCAATGTGAATGAAAGTTTAGGAAAAAGAGATTCAAATCATTAATTGAATAATTTTTTAAAAAAATAGAAGGAAAAAAAAACAAAGATTTTTAAGTTCTGTTTTGAAGTAAATGCAATATCACACCTTTAATTATTTAAATTCCTTGACAATTTAAATATAATAATAAAAATGAATGAGACAACACCAGGTTAAGACGACGACGATGGGGTCGACATGAACAAAAAAAAAACAGCTGAGTGAGTGAATGAAGACGAAATTGTCATCAGTTAAAGAAGCAAAAACAATTTGGGGGATTATGTTTACTAAAAAGGATGACCATTTAAGTAAAAATACTATAAATACTAAAACTAGAAAGAAAAAGTATTGGTACGAAATGGAATGTTTGTCTGTTTGATACTTTTTTTTTGTTTTTAGAGACACACAACAAAAAACAAAAGATAAAAAAACCGCAGGTCAAAAATTTAGACAAAAAGTCCTTTGTTATCGGTAAACAAAAATAAAGTAAAATAGAAATATATTTTATTTTTAGCAATCCCAAATTTTCAAACTCAGAAAAACGGAAAAAGTAAAAAATAAAAGTCATATTCATTTCTTTTTTTAATTAAGCAACTAACAAAATAAACAAGACCACAAAGTAGCAACTTACTTACACCGATAAGAACGGTGGTAAAAAAAAAAATTCTAAGTATTTTATTTTTTTTTCGAGATAAATACAGGCAAATGAATGCTTGCCTACCTGGTTGAATGAAAAGTATACAAGGCATAAAAGTGTTGTCTCTGAACTTGTGTAGGCATATTGTTGTCGTGAGACGAATCTGAATCCTCGACATTTGCGTCAACCATGCTGGCTGTCTGGTTGCGCGAAGTCTGGCTTGAGAGGGTGCCTATAAACGGCGGAAAGGAAATTGAATACGGAACGGACCATCGACTAGATCGCCACCCCTTACGACGAACACTACTTGATGAAAAAATTGTACCCTTAACCATGCATAAGTAAGAGAAAAACTTCACTCATTTGCAATATGATGTACACTACAGTGAGTAGAGTTCGCAGGCTGGGTGTACGTTCCTAATACTATACTGAATTTTAAAAAAAAGACTGATTGCAGTATAGCATAGCTGACGCAGAGCGGCTGACGATTGTATCACTTGTACAGGTGCTCTGCTGCTTACAATTTTACAAGTAAAAAGGTTACCTTAAAACAGTGAAAGGGAACTGAGGGAATGCGAATAAAATTCTCTCAGTAATTTGGCTATATACGCGAAGATTCTTTTAAAAAATAATTCTGATTTATTTATTTACTTATTCTTTTTTATGTTTATTCTCCGTCTAGGTGTTACTGTTACATTTTACAATGACAATGATAAACTGGAATTGGAATAAATGAAAAAAAATGAATTGTGATTGTGAGCCTTATAAAAACTAATTAATGAAAATCACGCTCATTAAAAAAAATACTAAAGAGAAAAGCAGAAAATTAATCATTTATGTGACAATTAAGTTCAACGCTCAACCTTTCTTGCAGATAAATCGGACTTAGAAAATTAAGAAATCGTTGCAACTTCTTAAGAATTGTTGACCTGCAAGATTTCATTAAATATCCAAGTGATAAACATATTGATTTATTGGCAAACTGACGTGTACGCCATAGCAAACTTACACACCACAAAATCACACTGCATACACACAATAGTACATACAAGCAAAAATCACATGCTCAACTCAACGGTAGAACAAGAGGACAAAAGGCTGAATAAAACTCGTTATTAGAAAATACTTCACCTTGAGAAAAGGAAATTACAAAACTTTAAGATAAAAAAAATATATTACAGTAAAAATGTGTTGCTATAATCTTGGCATAGGATTTATTTAGCTCTTCAGGACGTGTAGGTGATCATGGCTCTCCAAAGGTTTATTTTCTTTTATTATTTGTGAACTGCCATGACTTCTTGGGAAAGATAGTGAAGTAGTTTCCTGTTAACTTCTCTACAATTTTGAACTCTGGATTTTCTTTTTCCTAGACTGACTGACATCCATGGCCATAGAACCTTGTCTACTGTGCTATTCAACTTTTCATGGGATGCTAGTGGTATGACTGGGTAAATATTAGTCACCATTGGATAGTAAATATTTACAGGCTCCTGGAACCTTTATCTCGCAAACAATATTGGTGGATGCAATGTGAGTCCAGATAAAAATGAGTTACACAAAACAATAAATATAAAACAAACAACAATGCATATATTAATAAAAGGAATTACAGGTGTAGACAATTATAGCAAAAAAACAACATTAAAACAAATTAAAAGAAGAATGTGTGTGTGTGGGGTAACAAGCATGTGTGATAGACACATGTATGTATATATGTGTGTGTGAGTTCCAGAGTCAAAGGTAGGCCAAAGAAGTGAACCTGGCTTGTCGGAAGTGTTCCTATGTGAAAGCCAGAGCTAAAAAGACCTAAATAGAGAGAATGAGTGGGAATATCATTGCTAATTTATTGATTTAAAGAGCACTCTCTAGCAAGCCATGTGGAGTAGTCCACAAATTCGTAGCTGACACAGGGGAGAAGAACTAGATTCATGTCTTGCCCAGGGTGCATTAATGTGGAGGGAACGCAACAAAAAATGGAACTTAATTTAGTAGGATAAAACCAAATGGAATGAAAGTGAGAGAGAAAGAGGAATACAGCATAAGAAGATTGTGTTGCATCAAGTCAAAAGGTGCTTGACCACTTTGAAAATCAACATTCAAAATTTTTTCATCTGGTGGTAATAGTAAATAGAAAATATACACAAAACTACTTCAGCTGTCTCATCAGTCAGTTATATACCATACATGATACAAGCTTAGGCGATCATGTATCTTTCGATACATGACTGACAAGGCAGATTTTTTTTCGCAGTTGGTTGTCATTTCTTTCTGTGGTAAACCAGTTGCCATCCAAAGCTAAAGAATCCCGTCTGTCCTACTATTTACTCATAGCTTGAAGAGGAGGATTCATACCTATCCCAAGGGTATTAGCATGTAAGTGAATGTAATAGATTCTACTGGAATTTGAACTCGGCTCTCCGATTCCTCAATCTGAGCCACTATCTATTACTGCACTGTGCATCCTCTCCTCCATAAGGCAGGCAGTAAAACAAATGGTTTGAAAAGTGGTGCCTCTTCTAGTTAGGCTAAAAGCAGGCTAACCAAAGTTTTCACATGTAAATGACAGGTGTAAGGAAATGGAATAAATTTTTTTAAGGTGATATTTTATATTTTTGTTTTTATATAACTGAGTAACAATGGAGAGAAAATGCATGAGTATGCATGCAAAAGCAAGAAGACATTACAAGTTAAGAATTGTGTGTGAGTTACCCCACTTGTCTTTCAAAAACAAAACGCTACTAGGAGGCACTCTTTAAGCCTATAAATAGTCAATGATATCCTCAATCATTCTATTTTTGGTTTTTTCAGCTCTAGCTTCCAGATGTAGTCACATGTAGACAGGAATGCTGCCAACATGCCATGTTCGCTTCTTTGGTCCTCCTTTAATTTGGAACTCACACACACATATACATACTATTTACATTATTCGAACTATTGTTCTCATCTTTGTAGCCATATTTATTACAATATTTCAGATGTTGTATGCTCCGGCCTTCATCAGGTGGTTGGAATATCAAACTGAACCCTTTATTTTGCTCACTGGGTTAGACTGTTCTAGTTCCACGTGCCATGTTTAATGGATGTCAGTTATCAGTTATCTACTGTTAATTTTCCCTCTGAAAGTTCTCCACTGCCTTAACCAGGTATTGAACTCACACTCTTTGGGTCCTGTCACTGGATCTAACCAACGACTTCATCCACTGTGTCATGTGTCCTAAAGAAATATAGACAAATACGTATACACACATGTGCTTGTTACACACAAAGAAACACATTCTTCTTATAACTTGTTTTAATGTCTTTTCCTTTTGCTATAATTATCTATAAATGTAATTCCTTTTGTTACTACATACATTGTCATTTGTTTTATATTTATTGTTTTGTGTTACTCATTTTTACCTGGACTCACATTGAGTCTACCAATATTGCTTGCGGAGAAAAATGTTCCAGGTGCCCGCAAATATTTATTATCCAAAGTGTTGATTCCCAATGGCGTCTTCTACTACCACTGGCAGACATAGCCTCCTGCAACATGTGATACACATGTATGTGAAAAAGTTCAGTTTACCAAGAGGAAAGATATCCCCATTCTTGGGAACAAGACCTGCCACCCAATTGGTGCTGTCATTACAACATGCTGGGAGGAAAACAGAGAAAACAGGAAGTTTCTTATGTTTTGTTTTTTTTTATAGCTGCTTAACAGCCTCACCTAATGATGTCTTGCCAAAACTAAGTGGAGGTAACCCATAACATACACATGACATATTTAAAACAACTTCACATTTATTTTTTATTACAAAATGAAAACTATGCATAACAAAATAAAAAGGGAATTTCAAAAAGAACTTTTTGACTTTTTAAGTTTCAGACAAGTAGATTCTTCTAGTCTATAAAAATTTGTATTTTAATAAAATTTAATAAAAAATTATTATTTTAATAAAATTTAGTAGAAATGATTATTTTAATAAAATCTAATAAAAAATATTATTTTAATAAAATTTAATAAAAAATTATTATTTTAATAAAACCTAATAAAAAATTATTATTTTAATAAAACCGATAATATTAAATTAGAAGAAAAATTAAGAAAATTAGAATGTCACTAACATGGTGTCTTTCAAAAAAAAAAAAAACACCAAAATGAAACCAGTTGATTTATAGCAACAACAAAAAAAGATTTATATGCAAAACATTTGTAAAAAAGAGGCTTCAAATTGATGTCATAAAAAAACACCAAAATTAAACTCAACCATTTATAAAAAAAATGGAGTGAATAAAGATTTCCAAAAAACAGATCTCCAAATTAATGTTATAAAGAAACCAAAAAAATTAAATTTAAATGTTCTGTAGAAAGATTTACAAAATGAGGACCAACTTTGATGTGGTTAAAAACACCACAGTGAATTTGCAAACAGGTATGATTTGATTGGATAGTGATTCTTGAATTTTTAACCAATGGGGATAAAATTATACAGAACCTAATGAGTTGATTTTTTATTTGTTTGGAACCACCTATTTGTTATTTAAATAAGAAAATTTGTCTGTGAAATCAGAAAGGAAGCGAGCAAAATCAGGCAAAGAAAGATCTCATTATTTGTACATTTATTTATTTAGTAGACACATTTTGTGAACAAATTGCACAAATACATGGGAAATTAGTTTCATATTTAGTACATTCCTTCCTATTAATGAACTTTGTGCAGCTGTGTAAGTTTTTTATAATCCAGATTCAAATTACTCATTGATGTATACAAAATAGGTTGAGAATCCGGTTCACACTCCTCCCTAGTCTTTTGAACAGGAGTAGCAGTTTATCCCTTGTTTCCTGTTTATGATTGGTTTTCTGGTTCCTGCTTCAGTTCTATACTCCCAACACTTGTTCTGTCCATTCAAATATATAAGTCTACATAGTAACCCTCTATCTTGAGTGGCTCCTGGACTTAGTATTGTATGAACAGTAGTAGAGATTTATCCCTTGTTTCCTGTTAAGAATTGGGTTTCCAGTTCGTTCTAAATTCTACTTCCACACTCTACTTCTAATGTCTCCAACTGAACTCTGAACTGTTATTCAAAAATTAAATCTTCTTCAAGTCTAGAGTTAGCTGTTATCTTTCCTGCATAGACCCAGGAAGACATCACTGGTTGCCCTTTTTTATGCTCATACAACACTACACAGTAACCCTCTACCTTGAGTGGCTCTTGGGCCTTTTATTAGGTAAACATTAAGTAAAAAAAATATTCAAGTCATTTAGCCAAGATATATTTTTGATTTGGTGAATGAAAATAAAATATTAAATGTATTTGATTTCCATTGTTGTTGTCTTCTTTTTACATG